TCCGTGGTTGCTGGAGAGAAGATTCTTGTCCAGGACACACTTCGAATCCTTTAGATGCTTGTTTGCATCTGGAGCTGGTCATTTTTTGGTCCCCGAGTTTATTATTCTCCACTGTATTTTGAGATGGTAGAAGCTGATTAATTTGATCATGGATTTCATTATTTTCCTTTGTCAATTTATCTGGAGATGCTAGGAGCAACCAACCTGTACCATTACTTCCTGTTCTTCCATAAACTGCCAAAAGTTGTACATTACAGAGTCATGGAATCTGTTGCTTTTCATGATTGGTGAATCAGGGTGATCAAATGCACTTGTCTCCTTACGTTTGTCAGATAGTTCACAGCGTGGGCTTTCAGTACTCTCTGAGCCTCCAGAAAAGGTGTCAGAACTGTAAGTGTAGGTGTTGGCAAATTGGAAAATCTATTCCAGATACTTAAAAAAAAATAACTCTTATAATTCTGCTGCTCTGGAACCACAATCTGGATTAGTCAGATTTTGAAACTGACTCTAAAAGAACGAAACTTATAGAATGGATCTAGCTTTACAAAGAAAGGGGATTTATTAGAATGGATTACAGGTTGCAGTCCAGCTAATCCAACAATGGCTGTCTACCAACAGGAGGTCTAATAATCCAGTAGCTGTTCAGTCCACAAGGCTGGATGGCTCAGCTGGTCTTCAGTATACATCAGTTATCCTGAAGAAGTAGGCTCTAATGCCAGCAAAGGAGTGCTCTTGCCAGCGAGAGCTAGCGAAAGCAAGCAAAGGGATGCCCCTCCTTCTGTGGTCTTGGTTTTGAGAAATGTGACCAGGGCCGAGGGCTCAGTCCTTTCTGGAAGAATTGGTGATGTTTTCTGTGCTGTGACTTCTTTGTCAGACATCTGGCACGAACTAGGAAGATGCTGGAGGGGTTAGGAATGAAGCTCAGTTGTGCTTGCCTAGTGTCTGAGTCACTGCTCTATTGCTGTGACAAACCACCATGACCAAGGCAGCTTATAAAAGAAAGCATTTAGCTGGGGGCTTGCTTAGAGTTTCAGTGGCTTAATCCATTATCATCACAGCTGGGAGCATGGTGACAGGCAGGCAGGCAGGCATGAGCTGGAGTAGTAACTAAGAACTCACATCTGATCTGAAAGTTGCAGGTGGAGAGATGGAGAGACTGGGCCTGGTGTGGGCTTTTGAAACCTCAAAGCCCATTCCCAGTGACACACCTCCTCCAAGGCCACACCTCCTCCAACAAGGCCACACCTCCTCCAACAAGGCC